AATCTCCACTAACAAGGTCGCAGAACTGCTTTGCTCCACGCTTCTAAAACCTTTCCCTTCATCAAACTTACTTCTTCCCACCAAAACTACACGTGACTGTGCATCGTTGTACACAGACAAGTTCACACCAAAACTATCAACACCGTGTCTTGACACATTATTGCTAACAGAAACAGATACTATCATAACTTCAATGAAATATTCAATAAGAATACAAAAATGACACAAATCTCCAGTTACTGAATAATGCATAATAACGTATGAAATGAAATGATTTTCTATGGCTCTAGCACCATGCGCCATTATACATCAAACAAGTTTTCAGCAGGTTACATCTTTATGTTCAGGGACGCCCTTCTCCTGTCACTATGGGCTACCTGTACATGGGTGATTGTAACAGCAGTAAGAATGCATTCATCAAGGTGTAAAAAGGACTACTCAGATACCATGAATGCTGTCATGATTACTTGATATTCTTTCTTCGCGGTGCCATTATGTGGCAGGAAAAAAAAATGATTTCATCACGGGATGGACAGAAATGACAATAATCATTCTACCATGACAGTGTTACACATTAGCGAGCGTTATCCATTAGCTGCACAAAACCGCTCAGCCCATTCAATTAGATAGAAACGCAGATTCTCAGGGTACAGCGAAAAGCCTGGTGAATAGAAGATCTCCTCACATGGCTGAACTTTCGGTCGTTTAAATACACTGCCTGTGATCGTAACATCTTTGTTCACCTAAGCTATTAGAAGCACAAAATTCAGCTTTCAGACATTTAGCTTTGATGTGAAGGGGATACTACTGCTTAATAACTGAACAACAATGAAATACAAGCTATCCGCTAGAGTCATGCTGATCTACATTCTGTACTAAAACAAAAGCCATTGAAAATCCTCACCTTCAGGAAAATGATTGCACGTGTAATTGTTTTAATATTTCTGGTGCCATATTAACATACTTCTAATTTAGGTCCATCCATCCATTTTCTGTACTTGCCTGTCCTATGCAGGGTTGCAAGAGGGCGGAGCCTGTCCCAGAAGCTACAGGTGCAAGTCTCAGTCTGCTTGTCATTTAGGTCCTTTTAACAAAATATTTACAACCATTTTCAATTCATCCTTTGCAACTTCCTGCTTTCACGTGCCTGTCTGTATTATTTATACTGTCTCCTGTTGTTATTTCCTCCTTCTTTAAATAAAGGAAAATTTTGTGACAGAAGTATTCACTTTCTCTAATGACTTTACAACTTCTTTAAATCCATCCATCCATCACATCCATCATTTTTATTCACATAAAAAGATGACACATTTCGGACAATTCAGAGCTGCCATTTCTACTAACTGCATGGCCTCAGACTGAAAGAGGAAAATGAGACAGAAGCATCCAGAAGAATCCCGGCTGTCACAGGACAGGCCTGCATTACACACAGAGGGAGTGCAGGAGCGAAAGGCAACAGCATTACCCGCTGACACGCCGCGCGGTTCCTCACATACTGAATTTAAATGTTTTTTTTTTTAATTTTCAGATTGAAAACTTAAACATGCGTGTTTTTTTTTCCAATACATTATGGATTTTGAAAAGGACGTTCAGTCACAGCATGTTATAATGTGTGGCACACAGTCTACAAGCAGATGAAGCCGCAAATGTCTGCGAGCGCCAGCTCTGTACGGCCCAGGTACAATGTGCCTCTGGCCTATTTTGAGCCGTGAGCTTTGTTTACACGGCACACAGTCTATGATTGGGCAGCCGATTCACCTCAAAAAACACGCAGGAGGACCACCTGGCAGAGGTCATGTCTGCAGCTGGTGCATGCACACGCTACCCTGAGGACACAGGCGTGTGTCTGCATGGACATACACTGTGTATTTTTAAACGTAAAAGCATTCACATGTGATCCTGTATGTGCAGACAGTCAGACTGTATTTATTTTGCTCAATATTGTTACAGAAGAAAAATTTAAGGCCAGATTTGAACTTTACAGATTTTTGTGTAGCACAATGCACTCTTTTTTTTTTTGGATAAGAAAGATAAATGTATTTTTTGGAAATGGAAGAGATTTCTGTGGAACAGGACACACTCTGGCCCTGGCCTGGAACAGGCTCCAGGAATCCCGCTCAGTTGGGTGGGCAGAGTAATGGTTCTATTTATTTTTAATAATGCATTTTTAGATAAAATACATAAAATGCACCACTAAATATTCAAATAGCTGTAAAAAGCTATTTCCCCTGTTAAAATGAATTATTTGGGAAAAATGTGTATATTTTCCATTTAAATTCAGCAGGGGACTACCCAAATTTTCCGGCCAAATTAGGACGGACGATGACTGAATGTGTTAATGCGGCATTCATTTGCTTCAAACAGGAGAAAAACACTCATTTCCTCAGACCTTCAGTGACTTGGTAGCCAGTCTGCTTCCTACTGCATTGTTGAAGGGGAAGTCCAGATAAGCAGGATGAACAAAGAGGACTCAAAAACAGGGCTGACCGCAAGCCTTCGTCCGAAGGAGCACTTTTAGGACTGAACTTCACTATGATACTGAAAAAGGCCCAGGAAACACCAGCGAGTAGCTTAAACAGAACTACCAATGAAGAACGGAACTCCAGTTAGCAGAAGTTCTGTACTTATGTCCTGATATTCCTGGAAAGGCAGGATATGCTGTTGCATGCTTTCATCACCTGGGCTGTCTCCTTCCTGCCTGTCTGTCACTTTAGTGACTTCAACAATTGCCCATGAACTTTACTTTTTCCTACTTTATTAAAGAGCTTCAAAGCCAAATACCCTTCACAAATTCTATCTCCGCTATTATCTGTAATTAGTCACCAAGGTAGTATGGCTAATGCTTCCTATTCCTGTAATGTCAGCAAAAACAGAAAGTCTACCAGAACTAGCCACAACAGCATCATCAGGGATTTCCTGTTATATTTGGTTTGTGGTATAACTGAATGGTCTGTATGGCCTTGTGCAAGGTTGTATGTGAGATGGGAAAAAACAAAGTGAAACGACATTGGCATGTATAATAATGACACATGTTCTAAAATGCAATTTAATATATTACTGGAACTGCATACAAATATGACACAGTTTCACTTTCATATGTAAAACTTTGCAGATCACATAGTTGTTGATGGTTTATTTCTGTTTTCTGTTCTAAATTCCTCAGGACAGATTTTTGTCCTTAAACATTCTTCACCCACAGATGGCCAGCAATCTTGCTCTACTTTTGACCATGTAAAGATATAAAACATAAAGTCGTTATACAAATAAGACTGATATGCTAGCTATGTCTAAACCTCAATAAACCAAATATGTGCATTGTAATTTTATATATAATGGCATACATTTTTAAAATAAAACATAGTTTGCGTTGTACTACACTCATGCATGACTGCAAAAGGGTAACTGAAGGCTTTAAATGTTTTTATCATCCCTTTGCTGTTCCTTTAATAAGAATATTGACAAGAGAAGACAAATCATCTAAAAAGACCTTTGAAAATATGTATGATTTCAACAAGTTTAACCATATGAGTCAGATAATAAGCTACAGTATTTACACAAAAGCATGAGAGCACAGGCTGAAAACTCATTAATGAATTCCGGATTGAATACCATCATTACACTGAATAATCAATGTACACAATCACCTTTAAATTGTGACTTAAATTTTAATTCTACTATTAACTATAGTTTAAAGTGTCTGTTTTGCGCCACTTAAACATGGGGACACTACTTACAGAAAGTGCTGTAAACAAACACAGCATATTACTTGTGTTTGCACTTCTTAGTGACAAAACATTTTGCAATATAAGCACTTGAGTAAATCAGACCCATGTGCAGGTAATTAAGCTATACCTTTCCATGTTATATGATATAAGATGACAGAGAACACACGCAGGTGCATTTTAAACTCATTTTAAAAGTAATTACTAATTGCCAGGATATCTACCAAACATGAACTTTAGGTATTGTGGACTTCTCCCCAGAAGGAAGACAGTTCAAGTCCCAGTTGAAACCTTGCTTGATGAACCTGAACTACATCCAGGCAAAGTAACAGATGCACTTTAAAAGTTTGCACAAAAGCGTTACTTTTTGTGTCTATTCAGCTAATCTGTATGATAATAAAAGAAAGTGCAGTCTGTTCAATCAAGAGGGAAAAAAACGCAACTGGTAACATACAGCTACATACAAAGCGATCAAGATTTCAAGAATTGACTGAGACTACTTAGTTTGTGGAGGACAGGACTCACATCTCAGATGACATTGTATCTTAAGAGAAAGAATTCATTTCTTACATCCACAATTTTTGTCGCGCTTTCTATAGTTTATTAATAGTATCTACCATTCAGCAGTATAATTTTGATAGCTTGTCCGTCAACATCAAAAATAAATATGGATTTTAATTAACCTGAAACGTATTTTGGTTAACATTGCAGGTGTAAAGAAAGTTAAGTACTTGTTTTCAATGCACAGACACTTAGAACATCAATAGCTTGGAGTGTTCCAACTTGCTGATAATCGACAATATCAGCAACCTATAATAACAATTAAACAACTAATTGCTGACAGGCGACGACACTGTTACTAGATCATTCATATATCACTGAAAGTATTACTCTTCAGCAGGACTAGATCAAATATAAATTAACCGTTAATAATAATAATAACAATAAGCAGTAAAAATTGACGTTTACATAAAATATATCCGATAACTCCAGTAGTTACACAACTAACATGACATCAGATTAGTAGCGCGATAACTCGTACTGATATCACGTCTGGCCAAAACCTACAGTATATCATGTCTGCGGAGAAGAGAGTGATCACATAGAAAACTACGACAGTGAGAGTAATGCTACCCAGTAACCGAAAAGTGGTCCGATGCAGTGAAATAAGGGCGAGCGGCGAGGCGCGGAGCGGCTGCGGGCTGGAGCGCTTCTGGGAAGCGCGGAGAAAGGCGCCCCGAGTGCGCCGCAATGTCCGCTGTCATAAAACGGACTTACCTGCGAGACGTCATCGCAGTGCTTGAAAATCACCGATCTCTCTACAATGAAAAACAAACAAGAGATACGTGTGCAAAGAGAATAGGGAGAAATAAAAGTCACTCCCAGTTGTCGTCCCTTGTCTCTCTGCGTTAAACAATGTAGAAGTGAAAGCGATCGCCGGCTCCGCCTACTGAACCAAGCACAGGACACATAATAGCTATCTCCTTATATTTTTAAACCCTTAATTCAAACGATGGATTTAACAATGTTCCTACATTTTGGGCTTTATTGTGATAACCAGGCTCCCTTTTCTACAGATGAACAACGTTTACAATGACATCATTTCATTTACTATAGAAACTTATATGTTTGTAAGTGTCGACAAAGAATACGGCGATTAAGACGAATATGATTCCATTTCAACGATCACTGACAGAAAATATTTTTTTAAAGGCTAGGGTCAAATTAGAGCTCTGAACTTTCAAAAGGTGGATTAAACAACTATGAAGTCAATTCCGTATTACTGTGTAGGTTTCTAAAAAGGACCGGCCCATTGCCACTTTTTCATAGGGGCCAATATGACTCGAATAATCGCAAAAATATTTAGCTGCCACAACTGAGAGCAGGATGGAAAATAGGTGGAGGTGACAAGATAGGAGCAAACGCTATCAGCATGGGAAAATATTAGTGACTAAAGATCAAACCCCATAAAAGGCAGAGTGAGTAATAAGTACCAGACTTAAAATTTATCCATGTCGTGTTTGATGTTGTGGGAAAACTATTATGAAATAACATGCTGATCATTGAGACAGATTGTGGCTTTGGTTAGATTTCGAATGTATCTTAGATGTGAGTGAGCTGGTTTTCTTGTAGGGATGGATCCCAGCAGGGAATTAAGTGCAGTGGAAAAGTGGAAAGATGGTTCTTTTGGATTATGACATAAATGGACTGGTATTCATCAGTGACTGGGGATCACAGAGATAAGAATGACTCTCTCTCCCCCCCCTATCTATCTATCTATCTAATCTATCTATCTATCTATCTATCTATCTATCTATCTATCATCTATCTATCTATCTATCTATCTATCTATCTATCTATCTATCTATCTATCTGTGTCTGTCTGATTAATCTGTGAGGACTATTGTGCTGGAATGTAATGTTTGTTATGCAGCTGGACAACAAAAATACCACCCTTTCTTATCTAATATCCATCCATCCATCAATCCATCCATCCATTAACCAACCACGCATCCAATACATGGTTGTGAGACAATATTTCAGCTTTTCCAACCATCATATATCAGTTCTCTTTATTAGTGATTCTGCCTGACTGTCCAATAATTGTATATTCATTTTAATGAATTTCTGAGAGAGAGGACATCCAGGGTCAGAATGAAAAGGAAAGCCTGCAGCTGATGGCCCTTAATGTGTTTAACGGAGGTGGGAACATAAGACAAATATGAGCAATGATCTAAGCATCACCATGTCGTTTGTCTGCCACCATCCCGTAGGTATATTGTTTCGTATCGCAAATCATAAAGATGTGAATCAGAAACGCTGATTCATTATTTTCAATACACCCATATGTGTGATTTAAACACATATGGGTGTATTGAAAATTCAGAGAACATGCAGTACCTACAATGTCTTTCAAGCTTAGGTATATGTACACACACACACACACAGGTTTGTAATTATATCTTTGTGGGGACTCTCCATTCATTTCTATGGGGAAAACTCTAATCCCAGCATGACTTCCTTAACCCCTACCCAGCCATAACCTTAATCATAAGTAACCAAACAAAATAGGAGACTTTTGGCATTTTTACTTTTTTGATTGCATTCACAGATATTGGTGGGGACCTGAAAATGGTCCCCACAACGTCACAACAACAGGTTTTCATCACATTGTGGGGAACATTTGGTCCCCACAATGTAATATAAACATAATCCATACACACATACATACACAGTATAGACCAGTTTGTGTCTTCAAGTCAGATATTAGCTGATATTAGCATTTTTAAAACCTTTTCTATTCAGATATTGGTGTTTCTTTCCAGGAATTCAGATGAATTTACAATAACAGTAATAAGAAAAAAAACACTATAATTAAATCATGTTTTTTGGTGTTCTTCATTAGTGATATTTACCTAAACAATTTCTTTGTAGGTAGTGGAAATAACCGCTTATTAAAGCTGGTATCCAGGTAAGATTCCTGTTCACAACTACAATGACTAAACCGACACTCAGAGTATACATGCATAAAAAGAATGTCCAAGGCATTCTCATGGCTTCCCCTAAATACAGGAATATTATTTAAGATTCAGGGCACAATGCACGGGCACACACACATAATTTCAGTTATAAATGCTTTTTTTTTCATTTTCTTTTTTTTTAATAATTCAAATGCAGGGCTGTACATAATTCTTTATACGTCCTCTTCAAGAGGAAATCACCAGCACATTTGTCTAATGTCTAACAATAAATGTTAAAACCTTCACAGAGGAAAAAATAACAACCTGAAAACAACCATATTTTTCCAGTAAGTCATGTGACTATTTATTTGGTGGCCCTTCAGATTCCGATTTTCACTCATTTAGATACAGATGGTCAAATTAATCATGTAACATTCTGTGATATGTGGTCATTGTCTTCCGGAAATACATGACGAGTTCAGCAGGTTCCTTAGACAGAGAGGTGCGGTTCTTTCCTGATGTCAAGAATTGGCTTTATTTAAAAAAAAAAAAAAAAATCAATGACCTTTTTTTTGGTCCAGGTTCTGTCTACACATTGATTATGCACAATTGCCATATCCAGAAAATTCTGCTATTGTACTTTAGAGAGAAATGTGAGCTTTAGTCAAAGAATTAACAATGTTTTCCAGCTTAAAGTCACAACACACAGATATAACAAGCAGAACTAATAAATCAACAATCTTCTCCAATTAATAACCAGCAGCATTTTTAACTTTTGTTGATTTTTAAATACTGAGTCTGACAAAAATCATACAAAATCTTGTTTATACTATTTTAGTATTTGTCATTTATATAATTATTGTTTCTATTTGAAATGTTTTTATTGGTTTAATTTACAAATACTTTTTGAATACACTTAATTGTTCATCTCATATGCCAATAACTCCTGTTTTTACTTCCACCTTCATAGTCAGTCACCAAAGTTTTTGGTGTGTTTTTCTTTTTTTTAAACTTGGCTCCAGCCTATGCTACAGTCCCACCTGGTGGTACAATGGTAGAGCCCCAACTGAACCTTACATAAAGAAATACGAAATGAAAGGAAAAAAAAAATGTCACAAATGTGTTCGTTTCGCAGCGCCATTAGAAGTTGCATGCATGTTTTTTTTTTCTCCATTTGCATGAAAAAACATCTCTGTTGCAAAGGCTCCTGGGATATTTATACATCTGAAGACAGAAAAACAACCAAAACAAGATGTCCGCAAGAAAAGTTACATTCTGTTAATAGCATGACTTTTTCCCATAACATATAACAACTGTGAGACTATAACTTAATGAATCAATAGCATCGATGATATATTCACAGTTTCAGTTGTCTGTTGAGAATGTTTCACTATTTAATCTGCAAATATTCTGACTTAACGCTGAAGTGTAAAATTAAAGGGTTGATTCAATCAAAAAGCAATATGCTTGCACCTCTTATTTTCCATCTGAACAGGAGAAAGGCAACCCAGATACTTTAACATCAGCTGGTGTACTTCAAACATACTTTAAAGTTTATAAGTCTGATTTGTTCTTTATATTACAAAGCTTTTCATTGTTAAAATGTGGATTGAATAAAATGTTTATTATGGAATGCTTGCCATTTTGCCATTTAAAATATAAATAATCCCAAATTCCCAGATTATGAGGGAATGTGGTAACTTTGCAAGACTGCAATTGTAACACCAGTAAAAACTCACTTGAAGGCCACTATTACCAGTACTTTCCTTAGAAAGTAAAAAAGAAAAAAACATATATGCATTAGACATATGAACATAAAACATTCTTCTTCTTAGTTAATTAATTGAAATTATTGATCAGTTTCTCTGCAAAACCTTTTACAATAGCTATTCACTGAAGAATATCCTGGCATTTGACTGAAAAAAACAGAATTATTATGACACCAGCAGAACACAACAGAAAAGACACCAGCACCAGTGTTCAAGTAATGAGCAAGACTAGTTTTTTTTCTCTTTCAATAAAAATAATAACTTTTTTTGACACAATGTTCACCAGTAAAATTTGGAAACAAATCATACAAGTAAAGAGAAATAAAAACAAAAAAAAAGAACGAAAAACAGTATGAAACAAAATTTTTAAAATAATGTTTTTTTAATATAAAAAGACAATGAAAGATACACACAAATAGAAAAATAATTACAGCAGTTGATGTGCATGGAGAGGCAGAGCCGGGCTATTTGGCGGAGCAGTGTGTGATTTTGGGATTGTTTAAGGCGTCTTCCACCAGGTGCAGGTCCACACCATCCACACTCACGTCTTTCATGCAGCCTACAAACCCGGTGCTGTAGGCCTTGGTCAGGCGGCGTGCGACGGCCAGCTCCTCCAAGCCACCTGCGTATGCACAACACGGAGAGGCGTTTTTAATCAAGGAAAACAACACAATGCACATTTTCGAAATTGAGATTCATGACTCTTCATCAGACCCTGAATCAGACAAAAGGTTACAGAAAACAAATGGAACAGAATTAAATAATTAATTCATCAAACAAACAATGAATAAATGGATGGATGGATGGATGGATGTGTGTGGCAGGATCGTGCAGTGGCTAGCACTGCCCAGTATGGTGATCTGGGACAATGGTTTGAATCTCTGCCATAGCTTTATGTGTGTTGGGTTTGCATATTTTCCCCATGTTGTGGTGGGGTTTCCTCTGGGTAACACCCCCCCCCCACCACCACAATCCAAGAACATGCTGAGGTTAACTGAAGTTTCCAAATTGCCCATAGGTGTGCATGTGTGAGTGACTGGTGTGTGAGTGACTGGTGTGTGATTGTGCCCTGCGATGGGTTGGCACCCCATCCTGGGTTGTTCTCTGCCTCTCGGCCCATAGCCTCCAGCATAGGCTTCAGACCTTCCCACAACCCTGAATAGGACAAGCAGTTACAAAAAATGGATGGATGGATTTTTCATCAGTTCAGTCATGTCAGTTCCTGAAGCTCAGTAAAGTTGCACCTGGGTGAAATAAAAGTGCTGTGTATTTCATTGATCAGCCAACAGAGGGCACTCTTCCCCCTGTACTGCTGAGAGAGCAGTTATTTGGAGGAGATGTGAAGAATTCATGAAAAAACGACAAAAAAAAGGCAGACATATAACCAGCCAGTACACTATCAGCTGATGAGAGTGCAGTGGTCTGAAATGGGGGTGACCTACCCTCCATATAAACATTGTAACGAACCTTATCAGTGACCACCCATTAGGTGACATACAAACATGCAGATTCAGAGCAGAATGAAGTCGAACAACAGAGAAAACTGTTACGTAAGATGATGGAGAACTATGACTGTGCTGATAGATGAACACAATCATCACTGACTTGGTATTAAAAACAATACATTAAAAAGGTATTATGACGGTATTATTACTGCTGTTTCTAATTAGCAATTTGCATAAACATCAGCTTAATAATCAGCCAAATCCTTTAATTTCACGCATAGTTGTAAAGAACTTGCCACGCTTCAGTGGTTTCGGCGTTAAAGCAATATCTTTTAGTTATATATGAACTTGATCCTGCCTTTGAAGGTGTGGCTTTGCTTTCACCTCTAAAATCCCTTCAGAGAATGAGGTAAGCATGTTTACTGGCACGCATGGGAATGTTTCGCAAGCTTTTCTTTCCCGGCAAGTTTTTCAATAAGTGTGTAAATGGAACAAATAACGGCTATAAAAACCACCGCAACCAAATGACAGCAGTCATTAGTGCCGCAAATTTGTTTCTCATACTTTTATGCTACAATTTGGTGCCAGTCTTTTGTGATTTCAAAAATATGCATCACAGGTAGATTGATTATGCCTGCAAATTTGCTGCTGCGGGCTTTCGAACACCTACAATATCATATCACAACAAAAAGTATGAAATGATCTTTGCTGTTACATTTTCACATCCAAACAATACAAATTTATACGTATATTGCTGCCGTTTTTCTGAGCGGAGCCAATATGTATCATTGTACCAAAGCAAGAACAGATTATTTCCATCGGAAAAGGAAAACAAAAAAATAGACGCCATGTGCCCTCAGGAAACTGGCGTGTACCCGCAGGGGGTGGAGGGGGGGGGGCAGCCGTAACCAAGGCTTCCTCACCGTCGGCCAATAGGATATGGCTGATGGCAGGACTGACTTAAAACCTTAAGGCCAGTTCATACTTACTGCAGTCACACCACAGCATGTGTTTTATAGGCCGGAGCAGCCTCATGGTTTATTTTCCAAGAATAAACACACAATGACCCACAAAGGGTACATGCCTGTGTGTGGGACCACAAGATTACCCAAAAAATGCCAAAAATTGCATTATTTTACTAAAAAACCCTGCTGTTCCCATTATTCCAGTTAAATTCTCTACAGTTTGACCTTACTAAACACTCTCCAATGAGAGGTTACTGACAATAGAGGTCACATGACCTCCCAGAGAAGGAGTGGACCATTATGACGGATTAAAGGCCTTGAAGCAGCGACATACCCAGCCAGAGCGCTCCGTCTGTGTCCAGCTGGGTAGCCGCCAGAGGTGAAGAGCCTGTGATGGCTGCTTCATTGCCGACCTGCAACGAGCCGTCCCTTAGGGCCCTGTGATGAAGAGGTGAACAGTTACAAAGAGACAGGAAGGAGGAGTATAAAAGAGAAGCACCGTGTTGCTTATCTAAATACACAGGATACTGAAATAATTATATTACTCAGCTGATTTTTTATTCAGACATTTGGAAAGATTGTATGTCATGCCTTGTCGATATACTTGACAGTCAATATATGTTTATGGGTGTTTTTAAGCCATGTACATGAAATTGCAGTGAAAATGAAACTAGTCGGCTTCAACCACTGCGGCTGCTCTCTCCCTCACCGACTGGCCTTGATGTGAACCCAGCGGTTGGTGTTAACAGGCACGGAAGACTGCAACACAACTGGCTTGGAGCCCAGGTCGTAGGTCATCTGGATGCACCCATCCACCACGGCCAGGGCGATGTAGTCTGCGCGCTCGACTCCCTTGCCACTCCACAGGATCAGGCCTTGCGTGGCTTCGGTCTTGATGCTCAGCTCAAACCTGTTCACCAGGAGACCCTTTTCGCTGGAGCCACCAGGGGGAGATGCACAGTGAGCACAGTGACCCCAGGTAACAAAACATGTAACATCTACAGTGTCAGGTTTATGAAAATGAGGCTTTATACACTGATCTACTTATCAATGAGGAGAACAACTGCTTTTGCAGTGTGTGGAACAGCGGCTTGGTGACAGGGTCCTTTTGTAACAACAGGCTTCCATTTGTATAACATCTTGGTCATGAGGATGGAGGAGTTAGCAAGCTTGCCCACACGATGTCTGATGGAAGGATTCATGAAGCTCTGCTTGCACATTGTGATGCTTTTACTAATCCTGGTCAATCCCCAGAGGGAGCTTGTTGCCATGGTCATTGTTAATTAAGTTAAATATGGGAGCAGCACAGTGTGTCTTTGTCTGACATGGAAGGCAGCAAAAAATACAACGTTGTGAAAACTGGTTCATAAATATATCTTTGATACACAACAAACAGGAACAGCTTTCTCTCTTCTTAATGGCGGTGAACTTCTGCCACGTGTGAATATCCTATAGAACCGAGTGTGTCTTTTCATTAAATCTATTCCGGAAAGCCTGAAGACATATGGAAAGCCAGAGTGAAGTCACAAGCACATGACACAGGAGTGCAGATGAGTAAAAGAAGACCGGAGGGGACACAGTGACTGTGGGAGCTGCAGTGAGAGCACAAGCAAAGCAGGTACAAGTCGGACCGTTACTCTGCCCTCTACCAATCCACAGCACTCTCCTATTTATACTGCACTAAAATATAATATTCTGTAATGGGTATAGCAGTCAGAAAGATTATATGAGCAAGTATTACATGGACACAACAAACACACATGTGGGACAGTGATGACCTTCCCATCACAGCAAAATATACCTCTGCACTGGGGCAATACGCCCAGTATATTAGCAGAGATTGGCTGATATACTATAGTACAAAAGGGAAAACACTGAGGTAGGCTTAAAAGGAAAGATAAGGGGCAGGTTCAGTGATACTCACAGAAAGGGTATCATTTTTTGAGCCAGATATATGTTTTAACAGTTTTGAATCACTTGAGCCATCAGACATAGTTTTATGGGGCTCAGTAGTCCAATTTTTCTGCATAGACTTCCACCCACATAAATAACTCATAGAGGCTGTAATTCATTCTATTACTCTGTTTATTTCATTGCATATGTCCAGGCCATTACAACCCAACCGAAGAAAAGAATGATGCCACAGGTTCTGCAAATGCTACCCTTGGAAGAGCAATTATTATATTGGGCTGAAAAAGCTCTGTTGCATCAAGCTTAGAGCTGCCTGCCATCATCTGAGCTCTGCAATGGCGTTCTGTGCTGTGATGGGAGAAGTGGGATTTGCCTGCAGAAGATGAGGCGTAGGACTCACCTTTCATCTGATGGGTTCTCCAGAAACTCAGGACTTACGGAGCAAAGGGGAGAAAATGAAGGGATAAGCAGAAAAGCCAGGAAAACGAGCCACATTCCCTACATTACTCCCTCCCTATGGGGCTGGGCGACATTGCACAAAACACTGCAGCGCCACCGGCTCACCAGAGGGGGAGCCGTTGAGGTCTGAATACGATATTCTCCACACTATACCTAATCTCACTGTCATCTTCCTTAAACCTGATCCATTACTACCTAGAGTAACCCTATACTGAACCTAAGCGATTTCTCCTGCAGCCTATCTGCCATATAAACACTTAACATCTGCAAATGGTGAACATGAATCGCAAATGCACACCAAGCTATTTATATATTTATTATGCTCCTTTTTTACATTTAAGACACACTTGAAAACCCTGCCTATAACCGCATGTTACATTCACAGTTATTCATTTAGCAGATGTTTTGTCCAAAGTAACAAACAAACAAGGCAGGTATTGCGTTACAAGCTTACATCTGTCAATTACCCAGTTTAGATATAAATGCAACTAGGCAGAGGTTCCACTGAGAGACCAGTGACAAGTGCCAGTTACCACTGAAGCAAGAGATATACATTACAAAACACTGTAAGAACCTGACAAGAGAGCTACTCAAATCAATTCATCATGAGGACTAGGTTCCTACTTGACGCATGCAAAATACAAGTGTTCAGTGTCACCGTTGGACCATAACAAACACCATCGGAACAGCCCATGAAAACAGAGCAGGTCAGTGATCAGATGAGTTGATGGCTGTTATCTTATTGTACATGGTGAAAATCCACAGTTCATTGCGCAGATTCCTCAAGTTTTATTCCATACTGAACATATTTATATTACTGAACAACTTTTTATGCAACTGTTTATGTTGTCTGATATTTATGTGATAAACATGAAGATTCTGTGCACAGTGAGCCAGCTAATGGACTAGCTGATTATTAGAACCTCATTATTTCTACGCAAAATGTTTTTTCCATTTTTCCCTTATTTTACGAAAATGAATCCCTGCTCAGCAGTACTGTCTCATTTCATTATTTGGAAAACCTTAATGATCCTCTTTACTGGACGGTGGATTTTTTATCCTGCTCTTTGGGGCCAGATGTAAGCGTCCAAGCATGGAAGTATGTAGAGATGCACAGATATTATATTCTTGACCAAGAAACGTACCACCCTGAATGTCTACCAGCATAATGGATAATAATAAATGAATTAACATGTTTTCATTATCTGTAAAAATCGTGCTGTTCTTCGGATGAGAAGTAACGCTGGTGTCCTGACTCTCTGAGGTGATAAACGATCTCTAGGCATCTTTTGAAAGAGTGGGGGGGGGGGGAGGCTAAAATTGTTGTTAGACTACCTGCAATTTTCACATTTGCCTGTACAGTATGCATGTCTGTCCCCATCAATGGACTGGAATCACATCCCAGTGGTGCCCCCACATCCTGTGCTACATTGGATAGCCCCCTGCAAGCCGGTTCATGATAAATGGCTGGTACACGGAATTTTCCTTTGATCTTTGATTCAGTCTGGGTTGTTATTTTTGAAAGACACATTTAAAATCACTTCAGTTATTCCTGGAACCACGTGCGAAATTTGCTGATAATCAACACCAAGCGATAGCTTACTAATTACACGGAATCTCTCATTTCTGTTCTAGCACTGGCTCACAAATATAATTCACTGCTAGTATCATACAGTAGATGGAAGCTTCTGAAAGCAAATCATTCTCGTCATGACTTTAAAATCAACAGAATCATGGGGGAAATGCCTTGCAACGGCGGCTGGGATGGATCCAGACCTGGGATCACATTCACATTCATAATGATCAAGACAGTAGAGCACAGGGGCATCTGGCAGATGCTCTAGAACATGCATTTGTCATGCATGGACTCCTGCCTTCATATAACTCAGGAATATTAAATTAAACTAATTGAATTAAATGAAATTAAATTTAAATTAATTTAGCTGGTATGTACTGAAGTATGAAGAAACTTATGATGTTTTGCTGGAATCATGAGTGTTATGATGAGTAAGAATTCTGTGTGTGTTTAATGTTTTTCTGCTGGACTTACACAATGAGAAGCATTCATGAAATTGGATGTTAGAAAAAAAAAAGTCATAATACAGGTTAGTTTATATAAAGTCTATGAAGAAGTCCCAGAATATCTCAGTCTCTCTACTTACTCTGGGATTTCATTATTCAGTTGGCTTGAAGGCAGAAAAGACACAACAGTGACAAGGATATAAGGCAGCCAGACAGAAGACCAACAAACAGAAGAGAGACAAACAGACCAACAGCTTTCAAACACAGACAGACATTAAAAACAGCCAGTATGTGGCTAGTGTATGTAGCCACAAGACACAGACAGGAGTGGGATTGAAAGGGATTATGAAGATCAATCTATCCGTTACCCATATACTGTACAACAATCACCATTCAAACTGCAACACACACAAAAGTTGATAATAGCTAAAAACAGTTGAAATAACAGTGTTATGTAATTAGGAGGTTTTACAGTTCTGCAGCCTTTTGAGTAGGAGACAAGGAACATACACAAGACCTGACCATTTGGGAGAATGGGCAGTGTTGGTAATAGGGTTTTTATGTAAACGTATAGACTGATGACCTTAAAAGTAAGGCAAAAAATAATATTAGCTGCTAGCATTCATCTCCTGATTGTAACAGTCAAAATTTGACCAAAATTCCAAATCCAAACTTATCAGATTAACCTAAGATTTGTACCGTTATACCAAACTCTATACATGTCACAAACAAAACAATTACAAAAACTCTACAACAGATAATTTACAACCAGTTGTGACTTCATTAGATACACTTAACATCTGCCGAGTATGGCCCAATTCTTCCTCCAGAACCATTTCAAGTGAGGCGTTCGGCACGCCATTGTTGTACTGAAATATTATTTTCACTCATGGCCTCCCCGCTTTAATGAGTCTGGCCGTTCTCCTCAGACCTCTGACCTGTCATTATCAGGGTGTTTTTGGCCACAGAAACGTCATTGGCTGGATGCTCTGCAAATTTCTACAAATTCTAGACACTAGTGCAGAAAAGTAGCAGGAGGACGGCTGTTTCCGGGATTCGGGAAGCACCACAACAGGCACCAACAATCACACCACATTCAGAATGACTTACATCAAGCTACTTATCCATTCTAATGCTTAGCTGAATAGTAAATGAACCTCTCCAGTCCATGTGCTGCATCTACTGCAGCCAAATGGAGTCGCAGCCAAAAGATTCGCTATTTCGAGGGGCTGGCTATTCGGGTTAACAAGCAGTTGTCCTCAAATTCGCTACTGAGTATAAATACTTTTCTGGAATAAAATATGCGTGATGTCCATGACAGAGAGTGCAGCAGAGTCACGCTTTTACTAAGATAAAAATACCAAACTGGCAATCGATCAGCTTGCTCATCATGAGTTTCCCAATGCAAATAAAGAACTTTAAACAAAACAGCTTCCTCAGCCCTGTAGAGAATTAGGAGAGATAAATTCCAGCCCAGTCCAACCCCCTAAGCACACTACCTCTTGGTGATGGCGTTGTGGTACTCGATGAACGTCTGGCCATCAAAGGCGACAGAATCGGAGTCCCCAGCAGATTTCTCAATTATTACTGTTGGTACGAAGGGAGAAGAGACACATTAGCAATGCAACAAACTCTTAAAATTGTCCTCTTGTTTAAAATAACTGTCTTACTGAATGAAATCAGACTATTCTGTTATTTTCCATATTGTTTTGCTAGACATTAATCAAATACGAAGTGTTTGTTCAAAGGCACAGAATACGGCTGAGTAAATTATATTCTGGCCAAAATAGGTACATAATACAATTTAAAGAGAATGAGAGGAAGGTTAGCGGTGTGCTGGGGCACAGATGGGGGTCTTACTGTCTTGGCAGTGCTTCCCAGAGAAACCATGGTGACAGATGCACTCGTAATTGGCCAGCAGTGGACTGCAGAGGGCCCCGTTGAGGCAGATGCCCTGAGTGCATGCGTGCTGGGAGAACGTGGACACATCCTGGGATCGGAGTGCATTGGCTCGCATTAGGATGGGGGAGCCCATTAGGGTGATCTGGAAAAAACAAACACGGCCAAGCAGCCGGCTACGGTGATCGTCGAAGAAACCTGATACAGATGCACTTCTGATTTCAGACACTATTGTTTAAGTATGTTTGTTCCTAATTATATCTGAACAATTACATTTTAGATTACAGTCACCTTTATGCTTAATAATTACCCAGATACTAAACGTAACACTGAAAATAACTGAGAAATGTGTTGAGAATCGTATCATAACAAGAAAGACATGCTTTCCAGTGCGAGTGGCTTCTCATAACCCTCTTTGGGTAACATGAGCAGCAGGAGACCTTAAGTAATAGCCGTTCTAACCACACCGAATGGGCAGATGATTAAATTGCAGGCTGTGGGTAGGGAGGATCTCCTGACAGTGACGGAGGATCTCCTGACAGTGACGGAGGACCTCCTGACAGTGACGGAGGACCTCCTGACAGTGACGGAGGACCTCCTGACAGGGACGGAGGATCTCCTGACAGTGACGGAGGATCTCCTGACAGGGACGGAGGATCTCCTGACAGTGACAGAGGATCTGCTGACAGGGACGGAGGATCTGCTGACAGGGACGGAGGATCTCCTGACAGTGACGGAGGACCTCCTGACAGGGACGGAGGATCTCCTGACAGCGACGGAGGATCTCCTGACAGGGACGGAGGATCTCCTGACAGTGCAGCCCTTGAGGCAGTAACCCACCTTCTGAATGGCCCCCTTGAAGCCAGTGCTTAGAGAGGCCACTCTCGCCAGCTTGCTGAAGTCTGGGACCCCTCCCACAAAGAAGGACTCCTTCAGGTTGAGGGCAGCATGCTGGTACTAGAGAGATTATTCACAGCATCAGACCATCGGCATGAACGGAAATGTCTGAATACACTGTCAGAAAAAAGACAGATTTGTGCCTTTGATGGTATAACTACTTGTAATTGGGGCTGTACTCTCCAGGGGCTGCCAGTTGTACCCTAGCTGTAGGTAAATGTACCTTTTAGGCTAATTTAAGGTACACAAATGGACTCTGAGGAACATCTTTGTCCCATTGGGGTACATTGATGTTGTTTGTACCTCAGGGAACAAAACTGTACCTGGGCCGGACCCCATCTTTTTCTGACAGTGTATCTGAGCATTTTATGTGAATAATGGAAATCTGATTATTTCCATTTATTTGATGTGTCATTTATTTGAGTGTCATCTCCAACCTTTGTGAGAGTGGCCTGAATTTAGCAGGACCACTTCTGAAAGAACCTCAACTCATTAGAAAATACATCTTATTAAAACTGCATTTTATTTAGGACTGTACCTGCCCAAAGGAATGTTACGGCAATCTATGACAAGCAAACAGAATAATTTCCTATTGTTTTATATCTTTACAAAGGATACTGAGGAAAAACAAATAGTCAAGACGCTGCTGTGTGGGTAAAGTTTAAATATGGTGATGCAGGTTGCAGGAGACTTTGTCACTGATGCGTTACTGCTAGTTAAGACACATACTTGGGTATGGAGATGATTGTTATCAGGAAATAAAAAAATACAGAAGCTTATCATGGCTTTGCGCTGGCATGCATCTGTTAAAATCAATCTCTACAGGAAGTGGATCATGATGACACAGTCGGATGGAATGCCTGTGAGCCAATCAGACAACAGCGTTTACCTTGCGGGATTTCTTACGTCCAGATTGCAAAAGGAGGGAAAAGAAAAAAAAGGAAGGAAGGAAAGTTAAGACTAGGAAGAATAAAATAAAATATGGAATTTAAAAACCACCCTAGCTTTTATGAAAGATTACAGTTTGGTTGTATTTAGAGTAATCATCCATTTTCCACAGTCACTTATGCAGTTGAGGGTCACAGTTTGTTTTCTAGCCTTGAAGCTATACCAGGAAGCACTGGACACAGAGCAGGGGAATGTGGACAGAATGTCAGTCCGTCGAAGGGCACAAACTCTTCAGGCTATTAACATTAGACACTATTATACTGTCTTGATGTTTCAGCAAAAGTCAAAGGTTTATTTATTTGCTTGGTTACTGTAATAATTCACTGAATGGGATTTAGCATCCAACTGCATGTGTCCATCAAGGATCAGCAGCACTTCAATTAGCCTTTTTAAGCAGAATTATGGTTTTAAGCAGACAGAACATGGCTGCACTGCTTTCAGGTCACCCCAGATGAGTCACTTCCCTGCCTTCGCTCCAATCGCGTTATGAAAGCTGCATTTTTGTAAGCTGGAAATGAGGCATTAAGCTAAGAGAGAACATGGAAGAGGGTAGAGATGTGTGTGTGTGATAAGCAGCTTTTCTTGCTAAAATTTTAAACAAACAGAAGTAACCTTATTAAAGAGATAATGTCATTAGCTTTGTGGTAGCAAACACATTTACTGGAGTGAACTAACGTCATAACCCCCCCGCCCCACATTCAATTCACCTGTCAGATACTCTCAATTACTATATAATCGTGGTTCTCAAATTGTGGGTCACGACCCCCAGGGGGGGTCGCCAAATAATTGGGAGGGGTCGTGAGACAATTTTCTGAATGTGCAATTTTTACCACCTGCCCCCCTACTCTGTGAAATTTATTGCCGCGGACCCTAACCCCTGCTCCGCAAATTGTAGTGTAGGAGCCCCCTCACAGCTCATCAAATTTTATCATGGCGAGTCTCCAGACAAAAAGTTCGAGAGCCAGTGCAATGAGACTCAGTTTTATTTCTCTTAACCCTCGAAATGCGCTCAACCCTTGACAACCAACTTTTTCACCGTCTTTTCACAACCGAATCCGCATTCTGTGTCACTCTGAGTCTTGTTCGCCTGTGCTGATATGAAAACGGCTGTCTGCTGGATTCCTCTTCGCAGCTTTTGTTAAAACTCAGGGACGGTGACCAAGGAGGGGCTTAGGAGTGCTGTAGCTGGCCCTATGATAGCCATCGCACCCCCTTAACACCCCCAGGAAATACCTTTGGTTTATTTACAATGTTTAATTATTAATGTGTGAATGTATAATTTAATATCTTGCCTTCAGTTTAATGCTGAATGTCACTGTAACTGTCTTGGAGTGAGCACTGCGTTTGTGCTCGCATGTTGGTGTAAGTGTGTCGGCCATGTTGCTTTAGAAATGTAACTGGGATGACCATGACCTTAAGGGGACACCCGGGGTCGCCAGCTCTCACGCTCTCTCAAGTGTTACGGCAAACCCATATTCCATTATAAACTTAAAATTAGCTACATCAAAAGCTTTGGGGTAGTTTGCAAACCCTACAGACTATTTACAAGGTAACAACACTGTTACATACATGTCAATGTGTGTGCAGACTGGTCTCAAATTGAAAATCTCACTCCAGCCAGCTGACAAAAATCGGTAAGCCTAGGAACCCTAAATTTCAGAGCACCATCACTGAAAAGTCAAGAAACCCCACAGCACCAGCAAAAGAAAACTTCTGGCTCCACCCCAGTTAAAGCATCCAGTTCCTTCCTTCTATCCCTGAATGACAAAGTGCTGTTTTCTATCTTACACCTTTGGCTGTCAGAGAACCTTGTTAACATGCAAAATACTATTTTTGTTTCCTCCATAGTACCGTGAGCTCCACAGAACAGAGCAAATCCTTTTACAATCTGTCTAAGAAGATAAGGAAGACCTGACTGACCCATCAGTGTGTGTGGATAACAGACCCCATTGGTCCATAAAGGTCAGTCTTACCGGCGCCTCCCCTCGGACACGATCCTTGCCGTTGACAGTGAGCTCGCCCTTGCGGTTGGCGCGCTCCAGGTTCACTGTGTTCCACACGTTCATCTGAATCTTCTCCTTGCTCCTGCAGGTACCAAAAATGGACAGGCAATCATAAACCAGGCTGAAACTTCTCGAATGGTGCATATTTATTCTTAAACAAATAATAGTAAATGGACAATGAGGACCTGTGATTTTAATTATAATCAATCAGTAATATTTTGTAAATAGAACAAATTTCCATATAGCCCTTCATAGCTGTACTTCACTGATAGCCCTGAAGGGCAATCCAGCACCTTCATCACTAGGTCACTCTTCAGCAAATTACATGATTGGAATCCTTCCTCATTTTTTGGACAATTACATCATTCTGTATTATTTTAATTAACATTTAGCATTACAGGTGCCTTTTGTGTTCATCTCGCCGTACCTTATGATGGCGGGGCCCTTGCCCAGATCGTATCGGAACTCCAGGATTCCATCCTTTAAAGCCAAAGATATGAAGTCTCCCTTGCTGTCGCTCCTCTGTCCATTGTAGAATATCATGCCATCGGGGTCGTTGGCTAGAAACACCACTGTCATGCTGACCTTATGGCTAAAAATGACACAGAGATACCAACATCCTTACCAAACTTGCCATAACTAGTTCCTAGGGGCTGTGCTCATATAAACAAGCAGGATTTTCATTCACAAGGACACGGTCGATATTTTCACTACTACTTGTCATTCATTTTGTTAGCAGTTGAAACACACAGCTGACGGTACTAGGATGGAAAGAAGCCTAGAGTCCAGAACTTCGTAAATAGGTATTTGAGTAGGTCTATAAAATGGAATAAAAAGGTCAATGGAAGGAAAGTAATTACCAAACAAACGATTTGCAACATAAATGATGTAATTATATGTTATAGCCTGTAGAACTAAGGAAGAATGCAAATCACAAAAGAAAATTATTACTTAATCTTCACTGTTACATCCCTGTCTACACGGACCGTAATAACTACATTTTAAATAGACCTTAAAACTCACAATAGGTCACTTCCGTAGGTGTGTAGTCCGCTATATTCTAGGTAGGAGTCCCCACTGAAGAAGGGGATGAAGGTGTCACTCTGCTCAGTCTTGGATTCTAGTGGGGAGTGAAGAAGATAAATGTGTAATAAGAGAAGAATAATGGGTTGTTTAACTGACAAAAATTAAAAGCAAAAGCCATTATAGCTAAAGGTATAGCTCATGGAAGTTTTACTTATACAAAAATGTTCCGAAGGCAGAACAAGAAATTATTGGTTCAGAGAGATAACCAATCAGATTATAGAGGTCAGAAGTTCTGCTCCCGCCTCCTTCAGTTGCCTCCTCTACAATTCGATTGATTGGTTATCTCTGAACCAATTATTTTTTGTTCTACCTCAGAAGATTTTTGTGTAAAACTGTCACAAGCAAAGGTATAGCAGAAGAAACCAAAACAAAACCTAGAGAAGTTAGTATGTATACACAAATGCTATTGAGCAAATCATGTTATGAACCCATGCTGCTATCACAAATCAACAATCAATGAGTGTTGTTATATGTTCTTTAGGTGTCCTCTGTCACAGGTTAGGGGATCAAGCAGGGGCGGATTAACGCACAGGCTAGATATGGCTTAAGCCTAGGGGCCCCACGTGTGCCAGCCTGCAAGGGGGCCCCCATTGGCGCGGAGGGGGGCGGGGTTGGGGGGCCCACAGACTACTGTAGCCTAGGGGCCTCTGTGCACCTTAATCCGCCCCTGAGATCAAGGCATTGCCATTGAAAGTTGGGCAGTAAGGCCTGATCTTTCTAGGAATGAATTGGCATTGCTCATGTGTCATTGTGTCTGAACTTGTGTCCGAACCTATTACTTGTCTAGTTTACAGTTATAAATTGTGACCCCTTTGTATTGATCTCATTGATTTTCCACCAACATACATTTCATCTCAGTTTCAATGGTTCAAATACAATTTCATCAGATTCTGTTGCTTTGGTAAAATTTACCCTTTATTCTATTTGTTTACTTTCTTACTACTACTGTGGTTAATTTTCTTCTGGTTTCACGTCGGAAATTATTTAATGTTTGTTTGTCTTTCAATAAATAGCTCAACCAAGTTAACTGTCAAAGTGCTGAAGAGCACTGTTTCCAGCTGGTGTGTTTTGTGGGGTGTTTGGTGTCTCTGGGCAGCATGCTAACTCAGATATGATTCACCTGTTTCACAGTGTGGTCCTTCACGGCCCATTGGACATTCACATTTATACCCGCCCTGTGGCAGAACCTCGCACCGAGATGAAGGATGACACTTGTTTGGTTTACATGGGTTGTGGGCATCAGCGCATGTTGGACCTACGGACACAAATATTAAAAATGCAAAAACATAAAAACAGAAAAAAAAACAGAGCAAACAAACCACACACCTTATAACTATTAAAATAAATCAAAAACTAGTATTAATATTACCAATGTGAGACATAGGGAAGGCTTTTTCCCAGTTGAAATTAGGTAAGGATTTAGCAATTAAAGTTATTTCCTATTAAAAAATGCTATAACTCCAGATTAAGAATCTGAAAGCAATTCCATGATTCCAGGTTGTTATTAAAAAAAATACAGATAGCAGTAAAATTAGCAGTAAAATTCACTCGTGCCAGGAATAACCAAAAAGCCCACTTGATTTTCCTCCAGGTGGCTGAAAAGCAGAGCGAATGCAGTAATGAAGAGCCACTGGGTTCTGAAAGCTCTCTATCTCTGGCTGCTAGACCCAACCCCTGGAGATCTTTGATAAACCCATCGGCCACTTTGTAAGAACAATACCGCTGTGTGACCAACTAATCTTCTGACTTACTGAAGTTTTTTTTTCTCCTTCTGAGAATCTAAGCAGTTTGTGTTTTATTTTTCCTGTCTTGGATTACTATTTTATTAATTTATTTGCAGCGTCTGCATAAATTAGCCCAGAAAAAGGGACACTAAAATGAAAGAAGGTTTTATGCAATCTGGAAATTCAATAAAAGTGGAATTTTTCATTTCCCTCCGGAAGGTGAAGAGAGAGTAAAACGCCCAGTAAACTGGACAGGGAGAAGCACAAGGATAATCCTAAAATCACAGTCCACAAACAGCAGAGGGTTAAAAACTAGGCAATCGAATCCAAATCATGATACAAAGTCAAGCTGACACATGGAGTACAATTCCAACAACCAGATCCAAATCAAGACAAAGGACGGAAAACCAACAAAGCAAGTCAGAAACCAGATCATGACACAAACATTCAGTACAATGCAACTCTCATACGCAGTACTTCACAAGGAGTTAACTGGTAAACCAAGTGCTTTAATCCATGCCAATTAACCAGGCTGATGAGTTACAGATGTGTCTGGTACTCGAGGGGGGTAGAGCAGGAACTGACTAGGCATGGCTGAATGGACAGCATTTCATGCAGGTGTCTGTTTTTTCATGTGTTGTATCAAGCTTAGTACTTGCATACTGTACAACATGTGATTATTACAATAAAACCAAAAGGAATTTGTTCACTATTTAGTCCGCTGCTTGAAGAATGTGACAGCAATGACCTTACTGGTGTGATGTTCAAGAGTGGAAATCCAAGTACAGGGATCCGGAGAAGCAAGTACAAAGCATAAACCGAGAAAGTACTGACGCTCCACAGGTTACCATGGGGTTACGTTCCGATAATATCGTAAGGTGAAAATGCATTTTAATACAGTACACCTAACCTAACAAACATCACAGCCTAGCCTAGCCTACCTCAAACACTTACATTAGCCTATAGTTGGGCAAAATCATTAACACAGCCTATTTTTTAAATAAAATGATGTCGTCTGGTTGGGCACAGTCACTGTGCGTGCCGATGGGAAGCAGGTGTAACGGCAGGGAAGACATTACCAATATTGTCTTGTTAACTGTGGTATTTAATCACCAAGTGCTGCTTTCATAAGATTGTTATGAAAGTATGACAGGGTGATGAAATGGAGGAATGTCGAGCAAAGGCTGGATACTCCCAACAGAAAGTGACTTTGGCCATTTCAGATTGTTCTACGGGAAATTAATCTTCCTGTAAAAAAAACCCATTGTGACCCCAGAGCAAAATGATGAAGCAAAATGTTCTCCAGTTACCGTTGTGAAAGAAGAAAAAGAATATTAATTTGTAGGCAAAATGAAGAAAATAGAGAAATGCGCTTTCTTCGGCATCAACGGTGCAAGACTTTTATGATAATAAGGAGAACAGACTGAAGAGTCTTCAAATGGTGCTGCTCAGCTTCATTATATTTCAAAGGGAAGCGGCCCAATATTTCAGAGGCATTAAATGTTTTTTAGCTCACTGGGGTAGACAGCTAGTGACCAAGTTCTCTCTCCTTTCGGTGGTACCACAATTAATGGGTGATACTTTGACACTTGGTTTCTAAATTGCCCCAGTTATTCCACTATATATGTTTTCACTCACTTGAGTGTTTTGTCAAAAAAAGTCTCTCTATACTTAAGTGACTAAGAGTAATTGACATTTCACAGGTATCTTATCTGGCCAGTCTGCTACCACTGGCTGTGACCAATGCAGCATTTACAGTAACCCGGCTCTCCAAGCTACTGTAACACTCCAGTTGATGAATTTGCACCAATTCTCTGCAAATCATAAAACCAGCTTTTACAAATGGCAACAGCCCAGAGAAATTACACTTACGGGTAACCAAATGGCCTTTAAAAGCCTGCAGGAGTTATTTACTTAAATGTCCATATATTATCATACTATACAAACTACAAAAATAAAACTCATCAGACAGTGTTACATAGTATTAAAATGGTGTGGTACAATTAGTCTAATACCCAGTCCTGCATTTCATGTCTTACAATGTAGCTTTTCGATTATCCTTCAAAGGGAGAAAAGGGTTACTAGTAGTATTTAATAAGGCCGTCTCACCTGAGAAACCATCAATGCACTTGCAGTGGAAAGACTCCGCCTCCCTGTACTGGCAGTGCGCCCCGTTGCGGCACGGGTTGGGTTGGCAAGGGTTGCTGCCACACTCTCCCACGCCGGAGCCATACAGCACATGGCCGGCCTTTTCCTGCAAGTTGTACACCATGTTGTTGACGTCCAGCATGCGCAGGCAGCCCACCAGGCCGGACGAGACTGACGTCTTCTCCTTTACGCTGAAGAGGGAGTGACCAGATAAAAATGTTGTGTCATTTTATAAAATATCGTCCCTCAACTGAACCACAAAAGAATGGCATCGTGCAAAAAATTAAAATGACGGGAAGCATCTAAACCAGTGTTTCCCAGCCCCTTCTTTGGGGATCCACAGACTGCCATTACCGGGAGCTGGGAGGGAGCAAAAACGTGACCGTCTGCGGGACGGAGGACCGGAATGGGAAACACTGCTCTAATCTAATGAATATACACATTAACAAATGGAGCACGGTACAT